TTAGGGAATCCCATTGCAGCAAAACCATCCACTATAGCCTGCACATTTCCCAGAGTCACAAACTTTCGTAGCAGCACCTGAGTGATTGCTTTGGCTACTTGCATCACAGCAGCCCCCACAGTAGATTTGCCCACTCCAAAGTTGATTCCCGACTGACCGGTAGCTGTCTGGCGTTGCAAGCTTCCACAGGGCTATCGCCACGCGCTTCTCAACTGTGAGGGCTGCTCTCATCTTGGTATTCTGGCGTTTCAGGGCAGGGGACAGCAAGTCAAAGTTCCATGAAAGTGCCCTTACGCATGCGAAAGTTCCGCAGCCACTGGGAATCGTCCCACACCTGCAACACTATGCGGTCCCACCAGTCTGTGCTTGTTTCCCTTGCCCAGAATCGGCGTTCCATGGATAGAATCTGCTCCATTAACATGATCTCCAAAGCACCGGGGCCCGCGGTTTCACAGAATTCTGTATCCGTGTCCATGTCAATGTCCTCATCATGCTTGTCGCTGCGCCGCCGCCGCTGCCTCCTCGCCTCGTTTTTCTGGTCCTGGCTCAGCATAAACTCCACGAGAACGCGCGAGGTGTTTACAATGTTCATGACTGCTGTCTTGAGCTGAGCGGGCTCCATGCTTGCCGTGGTATGGAGTCTGCATTGTTCACCCACCCAGGAAAAAAGGTGCGAAATGGTTGTCTGCCGTCCGTTGCTTTCATGCAGGGAGGGAGGAAGTGAGGCTGTACCCAGAACCACCTGCGACGATGTTTTTTGTCCCATCAGGCACTGGGATCTTAACCCAGAATTCCAATGGGCGCGAGAGACTGCGGGAACTATGGGATAGCTACCCACAGTGCAATGCTGCAGAAATCGACGCTAGCCCCGGTACTTGGACGCACACCACCGAATTAATGTGCTTAGTGTGGCCGCATACATTTCGACTTTATACAACCTGTTTTTCAAATTCGAATTATATAAATTCGGATTAATCCCGTAGTGTAGACATACCCTTAGGTCCTACCTCAGTCTTTCAAGATTAAACATGCCTATTTTTTTTGTAAACCCAGCTATAAGTCAAGTTTGCAACACCTTTTTATCATTTTTCTTGCTCTCCTCTGGACACTCTCCAAATTATCCACATCTTTCCTAGATGATGGTGCTCAGAATTGGACACAGTACTTCAGATGAGGCCTCACCAGTGCCAAATAGAGCAGGACAATTACCTCCCATGTCTTACATATAAAAATTCTGTTAATATATCCCAGAATGGTATTAGCCTTTTTCACAACTGCATCACATTCTTGACTCATTCAATTGATGATCCACTATAACCCCAGATCCTTTACAGTAGTACTACCTCCTGGCTAGTTACTCATTTTATAGCTGTGCATTTGATTTTTCCTTCCTAAACAAAGTACTTTGCACTTTTCTTTATTGAAGATTTCTGAAAACCACACGAAAACCCAAGAACACTTTCCACTGTCTTTCTGAGAGAACAGATAGAAGGTACTAGGATTCACGGTAGTTTGGAAGAGGGTGCAGGTCAAAAGGCAACTGAAAGTGAGTTAAGGCAGGCACAATCTTTCCCAGACTTGAGTTTTAAAGGAGGAGATTAGATTCTGATCTTGCTGGCATATTTGTGCTTAAACTTTATTCATGCAAGATGTATCATTGACTTCAGTAGGACTACTAACATGGGTAAAGTTAAGCATGTGCTTAAGTGCTTGCAGCATCCATCCTTAAGATTATCTTTCTGAAGGAGCATGAGAGGAAGGGGAAGATATTACTAAATTTTGAAAGACTAGAAAACAGTCCCCTCTGCCCCATCCACCTCTGCCCCCTCAAGAGCATTTTTCCAAGGAGGAAACAGAGGCAGAGGTTTTTAAGAATGCTTTTAATGATCACTAAGAAAATATACAGAAATTTCATTGAAACGTTAAACAAAATTTCAGATGTAAACACAGTTTAATATCTGGAGATTTGTATAAGCAGACCAAGACAGACTTAAAATACCAGGAATAATTTGGGTCTGTTAGAAAAGTTATTCAATTGAAGATCTCATGCTTAGATGCATCTATACATTATATTAAAATATGCAGAAAGTAAGTAACAGTGTATTGTTATGTGCATAACATTGGAACAGCAATAGAGAATCTCATTTGGATTAGAGAACCTAAAAACATCAAAGTAAAAGCTTTAAGGAATACACAGTAGAGTTCTCCTAAAATAGCTGAATCTGGGAGTGTGCACAGTCTTATTTTTTTCTATGATTTTTATCATGTTGGCTCTCAGCACGCTTGCGCCAATCAATGGTTGGTTGTGCAAGGAACAGTTTCAAATGTGCAGTGCTCTTTGCTATTTCAGAGGCCACCTTCTTCCATGTTTGACCCACCAGGGAAGCTTACCTACATGCCTTACAGATTCAGGAGAAAAATCTTGTCAATCATCTAACTCAGTCAGGGCTTCTACAGTTTGTGTTCTGCAGATAGAAAGTGAGATTATTACTGCCAAACTGAAGAAGTTAATGGAATGTTCCTCTCCAGGTTACCCAGAATCCTTGGATACTAAAATAGCAACAGATCAGATTCTCAGACCTGATTCTCCCTGCCTTGTACGTGCAGTCATTCTTACCTATGCAAAGTGGGTATAAAATGCTATCAAATCAAAATTCTCCAGGTACCTAGATGGTAGCATTTTGCCAAGGTGTAAACAAATACACAGAGTGTAGTGGTGCATTAGGTCCAATATGTGTAGAGGGCCCCTTAACATCAGCAATAAGTGACATTTGTAAGAAGTGGTAGTGCTTTGCATTGCCATGTAGAACTTCTGGTTCAATTCCTGGTGCTGCTTTAGCCAGCACATGCTGGAAACAAGATGGAGCAAGTGCCTTCTGTCACAAAAGAGTTAATTTTTTTGTTTGAGGAAATACAGGGAGAGCAAGAAAATGGAGGGGAGAGATAAAGGGAAAGAAGCTTATGGAAGAAGAATGTCTTCTGGGAGTTCTGGGCACATTAACCTGATTCCTTTTACTCACTGGTAAAAATGGAGTTTTTATAGGTTTATATGACATAACAGCTGCACTAAAATACCAGGCTGAGCAGAATGATGTCATGTCAGAGTACAAGAGGCACATTACTTCACCCATGTCCCAGCATCATAAAAAAGTGTCGGGGGGGGGGGTAAGAGGGAGGGGGTTGGGACTGTCATAGTAGATGGAAATTCTGGAAGTCGGAGAGTCCTCTTCCCTTTCCAGAGGAACTCAGAATTCCAGCAAGGAACCTTCCTCCTCAGCAGAGAGTCAGGCTATGTCTACACTACCACTTATGTTGGTATAACTTATGTCAACCCCTTCCATCGGGGTAAGTAGTGTCTACGCTGAAGTACTGCAGCTGTGCTGCTGTAGCATTTTCCGTACAGGCATACCCTTATACGTTTGCTTCTTTAGAAGCATACCTTGCTTTTGTGCACCATAGGGCAGAGGCAACTACAGGCAAAGTTCAAATTTCAATTAACTGAATATCCCGATTAATTGTGCTCATTCAGATAACCTCTTAGCGGCTCATTAAGTGCATGGGGGAAATACACTGTTCTTTCAGATCACACTCTTGGGGATCCAAAATGTAGTTAAGAGAGGGGAGAAATAGCTGCAGGAGACAAAAACCTCCTTGGTTCTAGCACTTACAGCTGTGGGGGAGGGAGCCAGGCAGCTGTACCCCTCACTACAGTATTTGTACTGGTGCTTGTGGAATCCTGGGCTGTCAAGAAGGCTCCTGTCTCCTGCGGCTCCTTCCCCTCTACCTCCTTTCTTTTCTCTGTCATCCTCCTCTTTGCCTTCCCCCTCACCCCCCTGCCCTTTCATTCCGCAGCGATACCAGATCCTTTTTGCCCCTCCTCCCTCTGGGTCTGGCATCACTGCAGCATGAAACAGTGGCTTTGTCTACACTACAGCCACTCAGGCAGCACTGATATGGCACTGGAACTGTGCCGCTGGAGCACCATAGCGTAGGCGTTTCCTACAGCGACAGAAGGGGGTTTCCCCTCAATAGGCGTAATCCACCTCTCCGAGAGGTAGTAGCTAGGTCAACGGAAGAATTCTTCCATTAACCTAGCCACATCTACCAGAGAGATTAGGGCATCTTAACAACGTAGCTAGGCTGACCTCAGTTTGAAGTGTAGACCAGACCTGTGAAACTGCAGCTAAAAATAGCACTTCCATTTATCTGAACACCTGGTTATCCAAAGGTCTCTGATGTCCTCCAGGCCATTCAGATAAACAGAATTCACCTGTATTATAAAAGGTTCCCCCTTTGGGTAATGCTAAAGGAAAGAAAGCAAGACATAGGCTAACAAGGCCATCCCTGTTAGGAAACCACTTATTACAAATTCACTGATGGAAATCTCATTGAGTCAGTGTGTCCCCCAAGGAGAACCCTTTGAGTGATGAATCACGAAAGCAGAGGCCCCAAACCTCCAGATCCACATTAATATCAGATCAACTGCTGGGACAGTCACACAATCAGGCTCTCCATTTTAGCTTTTGCTTTCTCAATAAAATCTACAGAGGCACTCAGGAGTGGAAGCCGTGGGGGACCCATTGGAATCCCTGAGGTAAAAGTCATGACTGCTTTAGTCTGTGCAACACCAAAACCTAGGTAGGCAAAAGAAAAAGGCAGGTTACTTAAATATATCACTTAAATAAAAGTTAGTCACGACAGAGGGCTCTAAAATACCAACCGCATCAACTATTCCATCTCTTGTGAAACCCTAGAATATGGCCAGAGTTTAAATTCCCACAAGGGAGAAAGATGTAATCAGCAAGTGATGTTTGCAGACAGAAAACAGAGTTAATATCCATCCTGTATTACAATACAAACCACTCTTCGCTACCCATATTTTCCTCCAAAATGCCCCAAGTACAATATTTCCTTAGTAATGCATGCTTATGCTCTGAAAAGTGACTCAGAGTGTGGCTTTGGGAGGGTTCCCATACTTAACTTCCAGATCAAATTAGGGTAATCTTTATAGATAAAATGTATCATCTAACTCTCAGCCCAGCAAACAACCTAGGAACCGAAAGCCCAACCATGTCCTTTGTGGTTTACATATAGTATCAGAAGTACTAGACTAACATGGCTCCTACTCTGAAAGTAGTAATACAGATTCTGTAGTTAGAATTCAGTTAATCATTCTCTTGATTATGTGCAAACCAGAAAGAATCTGCCTCTCTCGCCCAAAGCGGTGATGGCTCTGCAGGGTTAACAGGAGAAAATATGTATTTTTGCCAGCAAAGTCAATAGATACAGTTTTGAAAGCACAAGGGGAGTAGGCCTACAATGTAAAAACACTTATTCTTCTCATAAATGGATGTTTAGATTCTTGGGCCTGATTGTCCTCTCCTCCCTAATTGAGGTCAATTAGGATCAGCTGATTCCAACTAAGGGCTGCCCAAGACCCTTTTACACCCTCCCCGTTGGGAGAAGAAGGGGAGGGAGAGAAGGAGTCATGCTGGTAGTAGGTTAGGCGCAGTGAGACAGCAAGCCTCACCAGGAGGGGAGGCTGCATTCCCTCCCAAAAGACTGGTGGAGAGAAGGAACGGACTTCCCCTGTGCAACCAAGAGGGACTGTTTTATCCAAGCCTGTCTCACACCAAGGCTAAAAGCAGTGGAGCCTGGTGAGACCGAGAAGGTGCCTTGCCACACAACAAAAGGGGAGAATCAGGCCCCCCGTGCTTTGTCATCAGGGCACTTTATTATCTTGTCCGGGATTGAGAACACTCAGTAAGAGTGACAGAGTGGACTTAAGAAAAATGGATAGTCAGGATAAAAAAAAAATTAGTTTTTTGAAGTTGGGGAATTTGTCAGAGAGCCTGGAGAAAGGAGGGAAGAGTGAGTAGAATCTTTCTGGATGTGCTTTACCAGCTCAGTCATTGAACTTCCAACTGCTGATAACTCAAGCAGTAACAGCAGATGTGAGGTCTCTCTTTGCACAAGACCTTTCAGAAGGGAGCTTCTCTTGTTGCAGGGACCTGGAAGCTTCAGTGAAGCTCATGGATTTTCAGTTCCTGTTTTACAACACAGTGAGGGAGGAAGATATTGCAGCACCTACCTAGTTTGAATACAAAGCTGAGAAATTCTCCAGTACAGAACTAGAAGAGAAACAGACAGTATTTTTTAATTCACTTCTTCATATTTACAAGACTTATTCTAACAGCTCTGGATGCTTGTATAACAACAATTATACACATGACATAGCAAAGGGAAAGTCCCCAGTACATTTGACATGCCTTCTTAAGTAAACAAGATCATCCACAGCTCCAAACCCCCACATTGAACTGCTCCCACCTCAATGAGCCACTCCCCATTCAGGCTATCCTCATTATTCAACTTCGCCCTTAACACAACAGTCTGCGGAAACTGGTGCACCGTGCCCTTCTAGACTTCCAGACAGGAAGTCCTTTCCGGAGTAGAGGACCCTTTGTTGAACATAGCCCCACCACACACACACACACACACGCTCCTGCCACCAGTCCCTCTCTTTTAGAACAAAGGAGAAGTGTCCCAGCTGCCCAAGACTGCGATAGAAAATTGTGTATCATTTGCATATTGACTACACCATCGCTATGGCCTCCGACATGTTGAGCAAGAAGGGTAATGGCATAGTGACCTGAGAAACCCTGCATGATGGAGAACCCTTGTGCAGAATGCTATTGCCTACTGTTAACCAGGAAGAAAGCCCAATCTCAGTGGTGTGGGGGAGGTGGAGGGGAAGCAGGAGAAGAGAAACAAGAAGGAAAGAGATGATGCTTGGTCCAGCCTTACCTCCCTTCCCCATAAGCAACTGATGAGGGAGGGGCAAGAAACTGCCAAGACTAGTTAAAAAGTGAGTAGAGTGGACAGTGACCCATCTGGAATGGTTAAAAAGACAACTAGGACACCCACCCCTTAAAAGAGATTGGGCATGGAGCCCTATAGATGGAGAGTATTTGAATGGTGGTTATCAATCAGCAAGGGGGTGTTCAGCCAGGTTAGAAAGGCAGGAGGCAGTCTCCAGACTAGTCAGCAGGTAGGTGTGTGCACACGGACAGGAAGGGAAGAGGAAGGAGGGTGGATGAGAAGAACATTGATTGGAAATGGGACAAGAAGATCCTAGAACAGGTTGTGCCTAAGCCAAAACATGTATGTGACTGGGGGAAACAAACAGACCTATCTAGGTTAGGCTGTTTATGAGGGAAGAGATGGACAGTGCCCATTCCACATAGGGTTTTGGGGGCTGAAGGGGAGGTTACACAAGGGGAAGAAAGGTGAGCTGTGCCTTGGCTAGTTAAAATAGTGGGGTTTGTGCCTGGATTGGTTTGAGAAAAGGGGAGCTGTGTACCAGACAAACAGATTGTTTGTGTGTGTGTGAACACAGTGGTCAGAGATTAGGTGGTTAAAGTGGTGGTGGTGGGAAGCCACAGAATGAATGGTGCCCAGTGAAGAGAAGTTTAGGGAAGCGGAGTGAGGACACTCCCACTGTGAGCAGGTAAAGATGCTGTACCTGATACCGTTGTGCTAATGCAAGGTCTTGCTTTGCAAAAGCCTCCAACATCAAGTTGTTTTTTTTGCCCAGATAGTTGTATGTGCTGCCAAAACAACCAAAGTAAACTCAGTTACACAAAGAGGTGCTTAGAGCAGCCACCACAACCAGAACAAACAAGAAGTCCCAGGCTTTCTAGTGCAATATTGTTTTCAGAACATAATCATTCTGAGCTAGAAATTCCACATGGTCTGAAACATATTGTATATAGTGGAGCCTTAAAAGCATGATTGTTCCCAATTAAAAAAAGTGTTACAATTAAGTGTTTTCTTCCCATCATCCTTTACAAATGACATTGTTTTTCCAAGAACAAAACAATCAGTTAGCCATTCTAGGGAACAATCACTTTGTTTACTTGTCACTTGTGATTTATATATTGTACACACGAATTGCAATATGGTATGGTAACTCATTTACGCCTCCTCAGTGGTGGAGGAAGGGTTGTCTAGTGCTTAAACACTGACCCTGACCTAGGTTCGAGTCCCTTCTCCACTTTCCCCAAGATCACACAGAAGTCTCTTTAGTCTCTCTGAACTTCAGTTCCCCTCAGTAAAGAGGGTAATAGTCCAACCCTGCCTCACAGCAATGTTGTGAGGATAAATAAATACATCAAAGATTGTGAGGTACTCAGGGTATTACAGTAATGGGGGCCATATAATTACAATACATAGACAGATAGTGGTAAATATGGCAACAAATGGAGCAGGAATGCAAAAAGACTGACCTTCCAACTGCCCCAGATGCTCCTATTGCCAGTGCACTCAGCAGATGCTAGTTTGTGGGGGGGGGGAAAAAAGCATTTTTACTTCATATAATAAAAAGCAAAGGAAGAATGAGCAGTACAAGTCACGGTCCTGAACATGGCTAGAGTTCAATTCGCACTGGGTAGTAATTGTTCAGGTTGGAACCAGGATGTGTCTTAGCATAAGCCACGTGGTTTTTAGAGGAGATCATTAAAAGTGGAGCCCCTTACCTCATCCACCCCATAGAGTAGCACAAATTGCTCTTTGTTGTTCTTCACACACTGTGCAAAGTCCAAGAGGTCTGTGTCACTGAACTTCACCCCCTGGAAGGTGGGGATCTGTTCTTTTATACCATCCAGCAGCTCCTCAACACGAACTGCACAGAACAACAATCTCACATCAAGAAACACATTCCAGTCACATAAGATGTCCCTGATCTCCTCCTCAAAGGGTCATCATTGTCACTCAAGCCTTACTATTCTTCATTTGAGCAGAGTCAGGTCCCTTCCCTCCCCTCACACGAGGTAATCAGAGGCAGACTTGTTGCTTTCCAACATTTTCTTTACGGTTTAAATGCAAGAGCTTGGTTACTTAAATAGCTTGAAAGGAACCAGTAAAGTAACTCTGGAATATATGAAGAGATGCACAAATGCATGTTAGGAGAAATGTACCATTGATATAGAATTGTCACTACCCCCTCTCATTTATATCTACTCCCGTATTACATACTTGCTGCTTATTGACAATAAGCAAGATCATGTGGGACACATCCACATCAAAGCTGAACAGTTTCTATAATTCTGCTACCTGCATTTTCTTTTTTTCCCCCCACTGTCTATTTCCTGGCTTGTGCCCTGTTACACAGCAGTGATTTCATTAATATCTATCAGATGTCTTATTTCCTTCTTGAGTATTAATCTTAGTTCAGAAACTGCGAAATACAGTTAGATAAGCAGTTCAGAAATGAACTGGCAGCTACACTTTAAAAATATATTCAAAGAGGCTATACGGTCTGTTGCCTAGAGCAAGGGAGTCAAAAAACTTAAGTTCAATTCTCAGCTGCATTGCTAACTTGTCTGGACTTGTCTACATTAGAAAAATTTATTGTGGCTGAATGTGATTAGTACTTCAGTTAGCTAACCAGGACTATGCAGTCAGTATTGAACAGCACAAGTGGAGGTTATCACTGTCAGCTAGGTGTGGTGAAAGGTTGCTGGAAGCAGGGTTTAACCATGGTTAGCAGACATGATGCTAAACGTAACCTGTCCTGGTCTACACTGGTCACGATGTCATAGTCAGCTTCGTTTCATCTTATAGACTCATAGGAGTGTAGGGCTGGACGGGACCTCCAGAAGTCATCTAGCCCAGCTGCCTATGCTGAGGCAGGACCAAGTAAACCAAGACCATCCCGAACAGGTGTTTGTCCAACCTGTTCCTAAAAACCTCCAATAGTAGGGATTCCACAACCTCCCTGGGAAGCCTATTCCAGAGCTTAACCACCCTTAGAGTTAGAAAGGTTTTCCTAACATCTAACCTAAATCTCCCTTGCTGCAGAGTAAGCCCATTACTTCTGCTCCTACCTCCACTGAACATGGAGAACCGATCACAGTCATCTTGGTAACGGCCCTTAACATACTTCAGGTGTTATCAGGCCCGCCCCTCAGTCTTCTTTTCTCAAGACTAAAACATGTCCTGTTTTAACCTTTCCTTGGAGAATAGGTTTTCTAAACGTTTACCATTTTTGTTGCTCTCTTCTGGATGATCTCTAATTTATCCACATCTTTATTAAAGAGTGATGCCTAGAACTGGACACAGTACTCCAGCTGAAGCCTCACCAATGCAGAGTAGAGTGGGACAATTATCTCCCATGTCTTGCGTACGACCAGACATGGGAGGTACACCTGTTAATACACCTCAGACTTAGATTAGCTTTTTTGCAACTGCATCACATTGATGACTCATTAAATTTGTGACCCCAGATCCTTTTCAGCAGTACTACCACCTAGCCAGTTATTCCCCATTTTGTGCTTGGGCATTTGATTTTTTCCTAACTGTTGTACTTTGCACTTGTCTTAATTGAATTTCATCTTGTTGATTTCATATCAATTGTCCCATTTGTCAAGGTTGTTTTGAATTCTAATCCTAGGGTTATCATATTTTGAGTGTCCAAAAAGAGGACACTCCACGGGGCCCCAGCCCCGCCCCAACTCCGCCCCCTCCCCTGCTTCCCACGAACATTTGATTTGTGGGAAGCCTGAAGCAGACAGCAGGTAAGCTGGTGGGGGAAGAGGGCGGC